CCTTCTCTACTGGTCATTCTCTTCCTAAGGAAAAGCTGCTGAAGAACACGTAGACAGTAGCTATCTCCACGTGTTCCTTGCCCTTTTGATAACCAATTAACTGGCTTCAAGGCCATGGGAGTCAGAGGATAAAGAGATCCTGAGGTCTGTTGAGCGAGGAGTTGGTTGCTTCACACACAGCAGCACCACCCAGCCTAGTCCTTAAACAGTAGCTGACAAATTTTTTAACTGAGATCCATTCATAAATGATTTCATATTGTGCCGCAAGAAAAGTTTCAGCATCAGTATGGAGACTTCCTAGACTTCCTATCTTGTGAAAGCACTCTTAATTTCTCCTCTTTTTGTGTGTGTGTGTTTCTCTAGGGGGGAAATCCTAATACCTTTGCTATAATAACTTTGCAAACCACCAGTCGTTCGAGGGTCTTGTTTCAAAACCTCTGTCTGATGAAGAGTCCTTTCTTTCCTAATCTCATACCCTAATCAAAATTCCAATTTAGTTTGAGGTTGTCAGTACAATCCTCTCCTTTAAGCTTTCAGAGCCAAGAAGTCTCAACAGGCTCAGTCCCTCTGGAAGCCCCCTCCTGTTGCTGTGAAGTTCTCATTCAGCCCCCCAGCTACCCTCTGCTGCCTTGGGAGGTCTCAGGCAGAAGCCTGCGTTTGCATGTGTCTGCTAAAACAAGTTGAACGTGGTTTGGAAATCCTTAATCCTTCCATTTAACACAAGTTTAGATAGAAATTAGGAAGAACAGTGAAAGACCAGCGAAGGGAAGGAACCAGGCCCTCCCTAGAATGCCACCACTTGCAAAACGCAAGTGCGGTCCGAGCCCGGTTCAGGAAAGAGCTGGCTGAATCGCCGATGCCAAACTCCTTCCCTGAGGATGGCCAGCACATAGAAGGCCTTCCCGTGTCCCCAAAGGCCCGCTCTAGTCGCTGCCCCATCCTGCCACAGGCTAGTCCCTCACACCGGCTCAACGTCCTCTGGCTCCTTAAGCGTGTAGAGGGAGACCCGAAAGGCATCGCGGCCGCGCGTGCTCGTTGTTGCCTCGGGGTGTGGACACCGTGTACATCACGCGCGCGGCGTCGGGATGCGGGTGACTTTCCCAGCCACGTCCCTATGTGAGTCTGGATCACTTGCAAAATGTTCTCTCCGGGGAGTTTTGAGGATATGCCCTAAGGCTGCTGGAGATTGACCTCAGATGCCGGCGCTAGGAGAAGGCGCCTAGTCTGTACGGACACCAGGTCTCAGTGCCCTAAAGCACCCGATCCGGCCACGGCCACGAGGTGACCGCAGAGCCTATGATGACCTCCGCCTTGTGTAGTGGTAACACACCTGAGGAAGACTCGAAAACAGCTGGGAGAGAATGGGAAAGACGGAAAGGAAACAGAGAAACTGCCCCAGGTTGTCCAGACTATCTCTCAGTGCAACCTTCAGAAACAAATTAACTCATCTCCAAACGCACCAGGCGAAGTAGGTGTGTTTGCGAATCCATCTTCTCCTGTGGGCGACCCGAGACACGCCCTGTCCAGTCGTGCCAGGGCATGGACATCACTAGCCAAGAAGAGAATCTATTAGACAGTACGACCTACTAATGCGGAGTGTGTAGCCAGAGCCCGGCTTCGCTTAGATGGCTTGCGCGAGCGTCAGAGGCTTTGGATGCTGGGCTAGGCTTTCAGTCCCGCCCACCGCTTCCTGGGGGCCACTCCAAAAGAAGTCGAACTTTTCTTCGGAGGAAAGACCTCGTGGCTCCAGCTCGCTCAGACAACATACCAAATGAAAATCACTTTACATCACCACCATTCGACTTCGGATTCTAATAAAAATTCAAACACGGATTCCCATGTGTTGCTTTAGTATTAAAAAGAACGAATTAATTTTTAAATGATAACCTATTTGGAATTCTTATACTGTCTTATCAATAAAATCCACCTGTATCGACTCAATTCACCACTGCGAAACTGCTCCTGTTGCAGTTCTGACAAACAGAATCTTTCCCAGTGTCTAACAGACAGATGCTCTTATTTGAGACCTGGCTGAGACCTGAGAAAATCAGGGACAGATCAGTCCCTCCGCTGAAAGCCCCCAACAGAGAACCTTCGAAGTGGGATTGCAAATACGGTCTGCGGGGTGAGGGGGGAAAGTTTAGATTGCTGAGAAACTTCCAGGCACGCCCAGAAAGCAATAGTTCCCATCCTCCCATACCAGAGACAGGTATTGGGGGGAGGGGTCGGTCCTTGAAGCCCCCTTCAGAAGAGACTATATTAAAAAAACACTCATTCCCAGACCTTTCTTCAACTGTTAAAACAACAAGGGGAAAAAGTTTTGCATTTACCCGCAAGGTGCCTTCCTGTCTCCTTTTCACCTTAAAGGAACCTGTCTCCTTTCTTGTAGTGAACTCAGAACCGAACAAAGAAATGCCTATCCCGCCAAGGGAGGTGAGGCCAGCCGGAGAGACCCTCACCCTTTTCTCTCCACAGCCACACCGGCGCTGTCGCAGGGTGGGAAAAAAGAAGAAATTGGAGGGCATTAGCCTGTGCACTCCTACTTGTATCTCAAAATATTTCTTCACTGAGGATGTTTTGGTTTAAAAAAATAATTAGATAGCTGGATATGAAGAGTGACATCCGCAAAGCCAATACATTCTTAAGAAAACGTGAAATTCAAGCTTCAAGTGATTTTTTTAAATTGTCAGAAAAAAATTCTTTCTCTTTGTTGGACTCCTATAGAGTATTAGCGGCCCACAGACTTATAACTGGTGTTTTTAGAAGATAGGACCCCCCCCAAAAAAAAAAGCACTCTAGAGATAAAGCCAATCTGGTACAAGAAAGAAGTAATCAAGGCCAGGTCTGTGTCGTGGGTGTGGCTTGATGCTATTTCTCTGGACCACGCACATCTCTTGTGAATCAGGACCGGGCGATTCAATTTGCGCGCGCACACGCTACGCGAGTCCCCCCCCCCAAACACACACACACACACACACACACACACACACACGCACGCACACACACACACACTCCTAAGCACCCTCTGACCAGTTTCAGAAAGCCAAAAGTCTAAGCGAGATGGAGCAGTGAACCCAGAAAGGCTATGACTCGCAGTCCAGATAGCAGAAAGGCGGAAGCCACCGAACACCAGTCAATAGAGCCGCTCATCCGTTCTTGCTTTAAATTAAGGACTTCTCTCCAAAAAGTCAGTGTTCTAGGCAACCTCTCAAAGTGGAGCTGGACAGCGAAGACTTTAAAATAGACCTTCTCTCAGACCTGAGAAGTGGGTGGGTGGGTGGATGTCATGACATTGAAACAATGACCATGTATTTCTACTGCTGAAATGACACTCCGCAAGTGACTAAGAATCCCTCATCATAAAGTTAGACTTCTTTCTGAAGAAGTTCCATACACTTTGATTTGACAATGGAGAAAGAGTCTGTGGCTCTTCCTGGGCTGTATTCCTAGAAAGAAAGACTAAGACTGTAAAATTCCAGGCAGAGAGAACCCTTGAAGACCCGGGGGAGATGTAGGCAAGTAAGAGCCGAGCTGGAATGTGACTTTGAAGCAGAAACCTTACTAGGGGCAAACTAGGAATCAAAATCCAGCCCAGTAGATGCAATATGGAGAGCAGGATAGCGTGGATCTCCTAAAGTCTCGAGAGACTCACTTTCCCGACGCCCTCATTGGCCTCAGATGATGCCCGCGGCTTCCTTTGGGGAGATTCAGTCTTGGGGTTCATTTCTGGGCTCAACTCTAAGGGATTCTGCAGTGAATGTAATTGTCTCGGGGCGCAGACACCTGGGAGAAGAGCTTATTCTGTCTACTTAAGAGTTTGGTGGCTTTGACTCAAAATAAGATGTGAAAATAAAATGCAATCGCTGGTCTGAACTTAAAAACACACACATACACTAGAAAATTGGACATTTTCTGTTTGATAGCCTACATAGCCGACTTCCTTCACCCCTCGTTGCTCAGAGAGAAAAATGGCTTTAAACTATCACAGGGGACTTTCCTTGTCTCTTTTTGCCAACCACAAAACAATTGCTTTTAGGGGTTAGGGAGTGAAGCCTGGTAAATCTGGTGGCAGGATACTCTTCTGACACTCATTGTTTTAAACAATAACTTATAATTTTTTGTGTAAATTTCAGTGACCTCCCAAGCCATCTGTAATTAGACAGGGTCATGAAACAGGATCATCACGTCTTGCATATCTCCTTAAATTCAGCCTACGGCAGAACTGGACTACCATCTGCCCAAGGATAGGTGGTTGAAAGCCAGATCAGCTGAGAACACAGTCCCCTTCCTTCCAAAGAACGTTGATACTGGATGGAATATCAGAGCCCCATCTTAAAACTTGCTTAAACTAAATCCAAGACCTGACGAGGATTTTTTAAATCTGAAATAATTAGAAGGTGGAAAGTTTCTAAAAGTTCAAAATATACCTCATCACTACCCACCAAAGCAGGGAAATAATGTTAGAAATGTCTCTACAGAGCTCTTCTGGGAAGGCTGACTCAGAAACTCGGGCAGGAGACCGGGAGTGCTCTGTCCTACCCACGCTCATAGCAGCATGCACAGGAATTTAAAAAGCCAAGATAAAGTAAAGGAGTACTCAAATCTGCATGGCCTTTCTGAGTCTTAAGCGCAAACTTCTGAATGCTGTCCACAAAAACTTCACAAGATTCCCAACTTGTAAAAGTTCAGATTTTTGGTCTTCTAAGCTTGCCTTTTGAAAGCTGTACTCACTCAAAACTTACAAGAGTAAAATATTCTAAATTGACTCTGATAAATGTAGGTCAGCAGACTGGAAAATTCAGGCTAAGGAAAAATATTGCATTGAATTCTCTAGATAATTAGTTCAATTACACCTTTCCCTTTGCCACAATGGATCCAGGCTGTCAGTCTGAAATTCAGATGTCATATAAGTGACCTACCCCAAGTCAATCTCCACTTTTGCCTCTTTCTTGTGCATGTTGTTTAGTCATCATTTTTCCTGGCCCAGAAATAAGACAAAGTTCTGTTCATTTACGTGGTTTATTGTTGTAAACATTAAAATTGTCTTTCTTAAAGAAAGAATTTATCAGAAAAAAAAATCAGCATCTCTAACTGTCGTACACCATAGAAAAAAAGGCAGTGACTCATCTCATGTGCCGTACTAGAAATATACAAAGAAAATACTACAGAATATGGCAATATTAAAATTCTTACTCAAACATAAAATAATATATTAACTGACAATTTTAGACATAAAAAAAACAAAAAAAATTCAAAGTGCTCAGTAATTTCCAGGGAGTTATGTATATTATAAGCACTCTGGAAACAGTCAAAAGCTGCTGCATGCAAGTTTTGTTTAGCTTTAGACAACAAAATAATCAAGATATAAACTTTCTTTTATCAACATCAACGGTACATACAACACTTACAAACAAGGAATGTTGGACGGTGTTACAAACACTATGTGTCCCTTTTTGTCAGGATTTTCCAATGTACTGATACTTGTGCCCACTTATTATACAATTGAGAAAATGTTTAAGCTCAGGTAACTACCAATCTTTATAAAATCTAACAGACTACATAGTGTCTGAAATACTATTTATATAGTATAGACATTACTGAAGCAGCAAGTGCCTATAACATCTTCAACCTAGAATCACATGCTTGTCCCCTTTTTATGTAGTTATTTTTTTTCTTTTTTGCAAACACACTTACTTTTTAGAATTTGTAATATTTATTCATAAATAGGCACAAAATAATTTAAAAAGCCAAACTGCATTGGATAAATTTACAAGCCTCTGCCTTCAATTCATGCCACCCACGCAACATTTAGTTTTACTATATATTACAGCTTTCTTTACAGCAGAAAACTTTGAAGTCTTGTTAAAGGGCAAAATAGGAGGGTCCCATTAAGGGGTGTGTGTGTGTGTGTGTGTGTGTGTGTGTGTGTGTCTTACATTTGTCTTAACTGCAACAAGCAAGCATGGCCAAACATTTCCCATCATACAATCTTTCTTCTGAACAACAAACTGATTTTGAACTGATAATAAAAAGTTTATACCACTGTACTGTGTGTTGTCCGTTTTCTAAATCCAGGATGCCCCGGAGCCAAAATGCCCTTTCAGGTTCTGCCTGCAGGTTAGGAAATAGCGACAGTTTTTATTTGTGTTTGTTTGTTTGTTTACTTTAGGGGTGAGGGCTAGGAGTCTACAGAAGGGAGATGATATGAACTGGACTCTTCAGCCAGCTCTCTGCCCATGTGACCAGCCCCCTCTGGATTTTTTTTTTCTTTCCAGTTCTTTGACGTGCATGGGAGAAGGTCTTAGAAAGGTAAGGTGTCCAGGAAAAGTTTGTCAATTATTGCTGGTGGTGGTACCAAGTCTTCCAATTTCAGGTAGAAAATGCGCTGGAGCCCCTGTGTGCAAAGGGTACGGAGTTCTGGGAGCTTCCCCAACAGTTTAGACAGGTAGTTGGGTCGGTTCAAGCCCCCATTGTTGAAAGTCACATGGTCTTTAAGACAATTTACAATTTTGTTTTGTAGCTCTTCCACTCTCTTGGGTTCCTTGAGCCCGTGTCTCTCTGCAGAAAATGCAACCAGAAACAAAAGAATGCATAGGAAGTTAGTCAGCTGGCAGAATCAGAGAGGATCTGTGATTAGGGAAAGCCATGACCGGTCCCACCAGAGGAAGTTCAGAAGGGGAAGTGCCCTGCACCAGCAGTACTGACCTGTGACCATAGCCAGGGCAGCAATGCAGGAGAAGGCAGAAATGTCGATGTTCATATTCTGCAAGTTGGAGGAGAATTCAACAATGGAATCAATCCATTCCCCAAAGCCACGCACGCATTGCAACCTGTGCAAGACCACCCCATTGCAAAAGATGAGTTTACCCTCCACTGGGTTGGACCTGCAATTAATACCAAAGAGAGAGGGGAGAAAAAGAGAGAGAGAGAAGCTAAACAACTAATTACTTGAAGAGCAATAAATGAGGGATTTAAGAGGCACCTAATTACTGAAGAGTTAATAAAATGTAGACCAGTGGACCTTGAAAGGGTTTAATTTCATAACAATCAAGAACGCCCTTATCCCACCTCCACTCCGGTCACCCAAAGCTCTTTCCCTTCTTCACCTTTGTTTTGTTTTTATCTTGCTCCCCACCCCAACCCTTTTTGCTTCCTTTCCTTTACATCCGATTCCTCCCCCCAGGCCTCCCTCATTACCTGTATGCTAAGCGCAGAACAAATAATTCTAAGAAAGCTGATTCAAAAAGCAGGTCCTGATCCGTTTTGGGCAGGTCAGCAAAGCCAGGGATCTTCTCTGCCCACCCTCTGATGATCTCCATTGAGCCAGTCAGGAGATCGTAGAACTGCTGGATATGTTGGGTATCATCTCCACTCATCTGATAGTCAGGGTTTGCCTGGAACTGGAATTTCATTTTAAAAAGCACTTAATGAGGTTCTCTAAAATATATAACCCGTGAAATTGCTAACCCCGTTTCTAGTAGGGGAGCCAGGTTTTTATAACAATTAAACCTCTCTCTGACCAGTAAGGAAATTAGATGTTCCGGGGCAATTAATTCAATTAGGGACGGTGCTATGAGGTCGCTGCTTTAAATATGTAAATTACCATTTCCATACAGACTAAATACAGAGCCATCCAGCCCTGGGAAACGTTCAGTCTTATCTCCACAAAACAATTGACACGGTAGTATTCATGCTAATCCCAGAGTGGGTCTTGAGCGGAGGCGCCCTTTGCAAAGCTTAATAATATTGCAGTCGCTACTAGGTTTGCCCATACTCCCTCCACTCCAAAGCCTGTACATTTTTCACAGCTGGAGTAAAAGAAGAATTGCACCACTTGATCCCTGACCTCAGACCCCCGCTGCCATCCCTTCCACCCCTCTTTTCACTCCCTAGCCGCAGACTAGTCAATGGAGGTGGGAGGGGTGTATTCTAGTAACTTCTAGTAAAGTAGACTTCTTTGAGACGCAGTTTTTGCCTTTCAGACCGCAGGTACAGGGACTGTCGGACAACAATGGTTCAGAAAGATTCAACCCCTCTGGCCTGTTCTCCAGTCTGTGCTTTGAGCTGCATCACCTCTCTGTCTCCTGAAAACCTGTCCAAAGTTGTGAAGTATATGTTCTGGTGTTCCTCCTTTACCCTTGAGTCTGGGGGGTGCTAAAGCTGGCTCTAGGGTGAGGGTCCTGCCCATTTGTTGGCTTGTCCACATGATATTCCCCTCTAGCTTCTTACCCTGGAATAGTCCAGGCTGGTCATTGCCGGATTGGAGTCAACGTGGGCTCTGACGAGGGCACTGATCAGACTCACCGGAGGTGAGGGGGGAGAGGGATCCTGTGGGCTCTTCGGCTTCGAGGGCAAACGACCTCTCCGGCCTTTTAAACTGTCCGTGCGAACCACTGTAAAGGAATTACCCAGGGGTTAAGCTGTTCCCTTGAGCCCAGACTCAGTTGCCTCACGGGCTCCTCCCTGGAGGAAGCAGTAGAAGTCCGACCTGGTGGTCCAGAGTTTCTCTGCTGGTAAAGACTGACGAGAAGTATTAATAAACGGCGGGTTATTTTATACCTTCCTCCACCCGGGTCCTATACTTAAAGACAAGGAGGGCCAGGTGGCTTTCTTTAGAGGAGGGCATTTGGCAGTGGAATCCTGGAGTCAGGGGCATGGGAAGTGAGGCAGGGGCCAGAGTCCACAGCAGCTGGTGGTCTTTCAGGGGTGCGGAATGGGAGGTCAACAGCTTGCCCCGACCTACCTTCTTTAACCATGCCAACAGCCAGGCACTTCTGAAACCGACAGTACTGACAACGATTTCGGCGGCGCTTGTCCACTGGGCAGTTTTTATTTGCTAAACACACATATTTCGCGTTTTTTTGCACCGTGCGCTGTAGAGGGAGAGAATGTAGGCCCAAAATTATTTTTTTTAATTCAAAGTCCAGCAAACTGGACACAATTTTTTTAAAAAATAGCTTGGCTCTGCATTCCTTCCATACAAATATAAACACTACTCCTTACATTTCTGTTTCCTTTTTCTTTTCTTCCTATTTCCTTTCCTTTTCCTCCCCAGGGCATTTACCAGAAGAAAATTGATAGCGTTAACATTTGAGCTAACCTTGCCGCTCCTTGCTGTGTTTTATATGCCAGGAGAAGGAGCAGGAGACGCTCAGTAAATACAAATCCGTGGGCATTCATATTATTTACATTCCTTGGAGACCTTCTCTATTTAAAATGATAAGATTATTCAATCAGGATGGCGAAATAAAGAGATCACTTAATTTGACCATAGGGAATTCTGTTCCACTTGGTTAGCTCAGACACGGTTCTCTGTCCTAACCAATTTCAATCTGAACAAGGAAGACAGCGCCTAACACATGCAAATAGCCCTCTTCCAACTCTGGCTCCAGCAATTTCAGGCTGGAGTCCGCCGGGGCCGCAGGTTGCTGTGGGGCGCAGGGGGCGGGGGATGAAACCCTGACTGTCCCAGTCTTTCTTATTTCTTTCCTTAGACACCCCCAAAGCCCCTTCCACAGCCCACGGGTAGCTGTAGGGAACTCGAAGTGGGCTGCTGACTGGAAGGTGAGGGCACATTGCTGGATCTCAGGTACAAGGTCACCACTACCTGCCACCTCCTCCCTGTCTTGCTCACCTTAAAGAAACCTTTGCAGCCCTCACAAGTGCGAACACCGTAGTGCTGACAGGCCGCGTTGTCACCGCAAACAGCGCACAGACCCTCATTGGAGGGAGAGCCCCGGGACGGCGGCGAGGGCACCTGCGTGTCAAGCAACTGCGATGCGTGGCCGATCTGCAGGCCCGGGAAGCCCATGGATGCTGGCTTGCGAATGGGGTTGGGCACGGCGAAGGTCTGCCCATCCACTACGTGGTGGCTGCCCGCGGGCTCCGGGTTCATGGGGACGTGCAGAGGCCCGTCGAAGCGCATCTGGCAGCTAGACACAGGGGTGCCCGGGGGCGACTGCTTAAAGGAGAAGAGTGAAAGGCGGGAGACGGGTGTCTTCCTCTGCTCAATCATGTGCGTAGTGGCCACGTAGTTCTGGTGGAAGTTGTGAAGGGAGCCTGGATCGTCCCACATCGGGCTATGCTGCACCTGGAAGCCAGGGGTGCTGGGTGTCGGGGGCGAAGAGGGCTTGTAGTAAACCGACCCGCTGTGTGGCATCATCTCCTCGGACTGAGGGGGCAGGTGGCTGTGTTGCTGGTAGTTGTGCATCTGAATATCTTCTACCTTAATGGAGGACTGCTGTCCGGACAGGGGCATTTGGTACAAGCAAGGTGGCTTGACGTCGTAGCCTGTGCTGTAGTTGTCCATAAAGGTACTGAAGCTGGGGAGAGAAGTGGTGGCAGTAATTTCAGTGTTGGTGAGGTCCATGCTAAACTTGACAAACTCTGGAGTTAAGAAATCGGAGCTGTATTCTCCCGAAGAGTGGTAACTGTAGCTCTGAGAAGCGGGGCTGGCTCCTTGAGGCGAGGACCCATACTGCGCCTGAACACAAGGCATGGCTGGAAATGAAACAGGGTGATACACACTCAGCCTGGTCAACTGAACACTTCCTTCCGGGCTCGGGTACACCTGGAGCTACACCGGCAGCCCGCGGCGTCGGGGGAATGGGGGGGGGGGAGTAGGAGTGTAAGAGGAAGGGAGAGGAAGGGCAAAAGAGATCGAGCAGAGGTGAGAAAGGAAAGGGCTGGTCCCTGGACGACCCAGAGCTGGAAAGCTGTTGAGGGTCTACACTCCCGGATATTTCCAAACGCTCCCCCGCTCCACCCCCTTCCCGCAGACAAATCCCGCTCTGATGAGCCTCTTCTTAGAAGCTCAGGGTCGACAGGATTTCTAGAACCCGTGATCTAGAAATGATGCTGAACTGCACAATGAGAAAGCTGTTCTCTGTGACCATAAGGCACAGGGTTAGCCTGAAAAGATCCTGTTGCCCTGTTTTTGTTTTTTTGTTTTTTTGTTTTTCTGGATATATAGGGAACTCGGGAAAGGTAATGAAAGAAAAAGCTCACTAACCTTCAGCCGAGTTATTGGAGTTTTCGAGGAAATTAAAGGTGGACAGTGTCGTAATTCAGCGAAGGACAAAGTTTCCAAGATTTTTTAAAAAGAGCAATTGGGAATCCAGCCCGTCAGATCTCCCTGAAATACAGACATAGGAAGTTTCAGGATGTCTTCCCACCCGAGACTTGGCTGGGTAGTTGCAGACTCACTCAGCAGAGCCTTCAGTGCTTCCTTGAAAATGAATATGAAGACTTTACCAAACAGCAGCTTAAAATGAGTGTGCAGAGACGATGTGGCTAAACAGCAGATAATGCCACTCATCTCTGAGTGTAAATCCCTGCAGATAAAACATCCTGTGGAGAAGTTATCCCATGAGTCTACTGGAAACTGAACGATATGATGAATTGGCCCCTTTGCTATGGATGGAAGGGCCATTGTCGTTCTACTTTATCTCGAACCTAAGAAGTCTGGGCTAAAGAGAAAACACAGAATCAAAGCCTCCTCTTAATATTTCTCTTGTAATCAAATGGACTTTTCTCTTAGAAGGAGAAAGAAAGTTAGTAGAACTCAAGAATACACCGTGGAAAAAAACAATAACAACCAATAGACATCCCACCCTTAGAAAAATGTTAGCAAGGCCTGGACAACCAAGCAAGCAGCAAGTGTGTAGCTTTTGCAATTCCTTTTGATCCAGCACTGGAGCTTGAGGTACAAATGAATTGGTGTTCCTCCAGAGAACTGGATTTTCAACACCTTTAATGGCCCAGAGGTGATGAGAGAGACCTTTACTTTACCAGGAGTATCTTGGGTCAACTGCAGAGGGAAGGAAATACTACGTAAATGATACTGGCACCAAAGTTAGAAGCACTCCTCAGCACAGCAAGCTGAACACCTTCTCCACCATGCTTTCCACAGGCTGCCTACTTGCTGGGACAAGGCATTCCTCTGTCCTAGCTATTTTCAGATGTTCCCACTTGCAAGGCATTCTAGAGCATAGACGATCTTGTTAATAAAATAAAAAGAAAAAATCCAAACACCCTCTCCTCTGCTCCCTCTCCCTCCTTCTTCCGTAATCTTGCTTGCTTCAAGGAGTGGAGAAGGTTAACAAGAATAACCAGAGGATTCTTGCTTTACCCCCACCCCCATCCGCCGCCGCCCTTGAAAATGTCTGTGCTGCATATTAACCCGTGGCTGTGTCACAGTTTCATAACTGTATTCTTTACCTCACGCACACACTGGCATACCACCCAAGAACAGCCTATATCAAAGCCAGAAATTTCAGGCAACTTTGCAACAGGACCTTCTACCGACACCACCCTTACTCGCCGATCTCCGGGAAACCTCCGCAAGCCGGTGAGCTGCGCGACACTGTTCCCAAGCAACACGTAAACTTTCTCTCCCGGACTGTCTCTCACATGTTCATGAGATGGAGCCTCCTCAAGCCACAATCAATTGCACACCAAGAGCAAACTTTGCGCACCTCTCCGCAGGCAAGTCCGCTTCTCCTAAAACTGTGGGAGTGGCCCCCCCCCCCGCCACATCCACCAATGAGAAGCCTGAAAACCTCTGCCGGCAGCCAACTCCCCCCCTTTACGCTACCACCGGAGTTCCAGCAGAGGCTCGGTGGAGCTGCGCGCGCCCACTCTCCATTCCCGCCCCCCAACCCCCCAGCCCCTTCGCGCTCCGCGGCTCCGGCGGCGCCCACCTGCAGAGAACCCGTTCCCGGGACGCGAAAACCCGGAGGACGCGTGACCGCCGGCGGCCCCGCCGCATCTACTCACTTCTCCGCTCTCTTCATTCATTCAACTCCGCCGAAGTGCAGTTGCCTCCCGGAGCAGAGGAGCCGGGGTCCGCGGGAGCACTGCGGGAGCGGGACGCGGAGAGCCACACGCAGCCAGCCGGGCCGCAGGAGAGGGAGGCAGCCGGCGGGGACAGGAGAGAGGGACGCGGAGCCGTGCGGAGCCGCGGGGCGGACTGGCCCTGGCCGCCAATGTGCCTTTGTTTATGTGGCTCGCGCTGCCGCTGCCAACATGCACCTAAAGTCTGCGCGCGTCAGCCCGCGTCAGCGGCCCGCGGTCCAATCGCCGAGCCGCCGCGCTCCCCGGACTCCTGGCCCGCGCTCGCTTTGGTATATTTCCGACCTGACGTCACGACTGGGGCTGATTTTAAGGTGGGAACGGTTCACCTTGGTAGCCCACTTGGGTGGATTTTTTTTTTTCCGAAAGAAGTGTGACTTCTGCAACCCAGGTCCCTGAAGCCCGCGGTGATGCTCCACCTGCCCTCCGCCCCCACCCCACCCCAGACCCTGAGTCCTCACACGTGGGGAGGGTGCAACAAAAGCATGAGCGGAAAAGAACGCTGGCGTGGGCCAGGTAGCTGGCACCTGGGCCGAGCGGGCAGAGGTGTGCCTTGCAGTTTCCCAACATACCCTCCACACACTCCTTAGCACAAGTAGAGACAGTTGTCCCGGGACTCGGAACTCTCCAACGGCTTGGGCATTTGATGGGGTTCCTCTAGTCAGTGTATCCCCTTCTCCCTTTTTTAAAACCCACCCTTCCTCCAAGGGATGAGGGGTCACGGTCTTTTTTTTCTTTCCTCCTCTTTCCTGAAAGTAAAAAAATATAATACCTAAAGCAGTGTGGAAGGAATGAGAGTAGACACTGAGCCAGGCCTTAGAGGACCTCACAAGTAGGAGTGAACTGTTGCCTGCTTTTCTCTCGCAGACAATACATTAAAGAATCCGGCAACAGGTGCGCCTTCAGCCTAAAGGTGATCTGATCCACCGCCCCACCCCATCCCACCCCCACGGTCAACTCTTAACAGCATTGACATTTCGCTGTGTCCACCAAGCAAGGCCCTTCAGTCCCTTTCACAGGTTTCTGAAACGCAGGGACTGTCGTACCCGCAACCAAGAAGAAGGCATAGAAGGAGAAGCGGCAAGGGAAGTGGAGCTCGAGGCGATGGTGGGCCGCTCGGCGTCTCGCCAAAACAGAGAATGTGTGCCTACTGCCTCAGCCCGGGGTCCCCGTGAGCTGTGGGATGGTGCCCTCCCCGCGCGGTCCTCTCAGTCCCCTCCAGCTCTGCTCTGCAAGACAATCTCCCCCCCCACTCCCAAGCGCGTGGATCTTTCTAGCAAAGGAATCGCAGCTCCTCCGGAGGGTTAATCCTACTCCCAGTACCCCAGTGAAGCTGGCCAGGCAGGCCTCTTCGGGTTTCTCTCGAGGCCAGTAAGGGGCTGAGGCCAAGGGAGGGAGACTTTGCAGGGTTTCCTTCTTCGCCCAGGACAGCGCTCCTCCGCCCCTCCTCCCCGAGCGCTGGCTCACTCCCAAGCTGCCTGGGCGATCGTGTGTGTGTGTGTGTGTGTGTGTGTGTGTGTGTGTGTCTGCAATGTGCAGCTCGGCCCCCTCTCGGTGATCCTAGCACCAGTGGAGAGCACCGCGGAACTCTAGGGGTTGCGGGGTTGCTCATTCCTAGCCTGCACCTCCGCCTTAGCCCGCTCCGTGCTGAACGAGCCTGCGGCTGCAGAGGCGTTACCATCGGGTGCCCTGCGGCTGCCCAGACAAGCCGCGGGCTCCACTGTGCATCAGCCTCCGGGAAACCTACGTGACCACCTTAAGTTTCCCCCAGATGTTGCCGCTGCCTCTCCAGCTGCTGCCGCTACGGCTCAGCGCTGCCCTAATGGGCGGGAGGGGCGGGGGGACCCAACAACAAGGAAGTGGGGGTGGAATGCAAGAAAGGGGGCAGGGTGAAGAACAACTTATTAGTGTGAGCTCGGCAGCGTCAGCGCCCCGTGGGCAGAAGCGATTCCACGCGAACGAAAGGGAAAAAGTGAGAGTTTGGAGAGCAATGGAGAAGGAAGGGGGTGGGGGTGGCGGTGACGCAGGGGCGCAGGCATTGACGCACCGGCCAGGCTGGGCCCAAAATAGAAGCAACTCCAGCTCACAGGCGCCCTCCCGGGTTCCCTTCCCCTTCCGTGAGGGAGTAGGGTGCGGTCACCAGGAGCTTTCCTTGATCCTCGCGGTGGGCCAGGTCCCCGGCAGCTATTTTCAGACAGTCGGAAACCCAAGCTTAGAGACATTGGAGTGGAAGTTATTATTTTTTAATACAGTTCCAGGAGAGCGGGTATCAGGAGTTTAAGGTCGTAGCCACAGAGTTCCCTACACAAACGCGGCTAAGTAGATATGTTGCCCTCTGCAAGCTCCTCTCCCCAGTCATTAAAAACAGTTTGGTTTGAGTTGCGTCTGGGGAAATTTTGAAAATGCCCTTCTAGATAGAGGAAAGAGGGCCTAGAGTTCTTATACTGAACACCAGAACAAGCACAGTAACAGGGTTATTCTTTAGCAACCTCCCAGTGCTTGGTTTCCTGATAAGAAAAGCCTTTGCTCCAGCCTTGTTATACCCAAGATCAAAAGGCAGCGGTCATAGCAATTTACTACCATAATAAGTGAGAATAGGGTAATTATAACATGTAAATGAGAGGAAGTGAAGACTTTTTTTCCATCCATGTGTGAGTTTTCTCTCTTTTCAAATTTATGTTCAGCTTCCCTGGATGTTACTACTATTGAGGAAAGACTCATAAACTCATTTAAAGTAATTCTTGGCTGAGACTACTATACGGTTGGAGTTTGGATCAGGGCTCGCATATGCTCCAGGTGGGAAGGATCAAGTGCACACATAGGAAAGTTAAAAAGGGCCACGCTCAAAACCTCAGTCTACTGTTTTCCCCATTGGAAGGGTGAAGCTTCAGGAGCAAAGACGAGATCTGCAATTGACTGATCTTGTCAGTAGGGGGCCTGACTCCACAATGTTCAAGAGACAATCTCCCACACAAGCACGCACACTCAACACACACAGACAGACACCACACACACACACACACACACACACACACACACACACAGAGCTATTTACTACTTAGGATAACTAAGCCCCAGGAGAAAAGTCTGCAGGCCCAAACGTTCATATTGTGTTGGAATTCATAAACGACAACTCTTATTTTTTCTATTTTCTCCAAAAGAGAAACAGTTTAACACATGGAATTAGGTTCACAATGGATTTTCTTTATTTCCTCCTGCCCATGTTTAACTTACTGTTAGGTCACAGAGGGAAAAATGGCAATAAAATTTCTCATTTTATCTCAAAGCAGTTCAAATTGGCATATAGTTTGGAAAAATGAAAGCATGTTTTAAAATCCTATGATTACATGTTTAAATAAATTATAGTTGAGAAGAGAATTCCTGTGGGTATATTTGCTAGTACATAAGAGAATGCTTTTGTGCATAGAGGTTTAATTACACATATAATGGAATCAAAATGTAGAATTGAACAACCTTTCAGAAAATGTTAAAACGATGCTTTAGGCTAAAAGAAACTGAAATTCTGCATTTATATGGCTGCAACTCTTCTGCATTCCTACACATAAATATTTCAAATAAAGTATTTTATAACTCAATTAAAATGACAATAACGTTTTTTTTCAGGATCCAGAGTCTGATGGAACTTTAAATTATTGCCACGTTTAAATGTGTAACATTTCCCCATTAATAAAGGTCTATTTTCTTAATAATTTAAAATAATGGAAGCAAAAAAAATGGTGCTATGCATAGTAGGTCCCTTCTTATATAAATTACAAGTTATTGCTATTGATAAATATAATGATGAGACCTTTAAAAGAATTGATGAAGGTAATGTTGTTATATTACTTTTCATGATACTAGCACATACTAAGCAGTACATATATGCCTGTACATAAAAAATGTTCATTAAAAATCAGTATAAATGAAAATAAACTCACATCTAAAGCTAAGTATTTTATTTTTGCATGGCTAAGAAGATTATACTTAATAAAATTGAGCTTTTGGTATAATTTAGAGAGCAAACATAAATGTAATCCCATCGGATTTTCTATTTTAATGCATGGGGAAGAGGCCTCTGGGGGTTGATTTCAGTATTCTCCCCAAATGTATTCAGAGGATATCTCACAATGCAGATACAATGAAACAGAGATACCTGTTATGCTGTAAGAGTTGAAACTACTTCAA